GTCAGATCTCTCATATAACCTTTAGGGTCAGTAAATTGAGTTAAAAGAAGTGTGTTAGATTTGTCAAATGGTTTGTCTAAAATGATTGGATCTACTGATGCAAGATGCTTTGAGTTTAAGTTGGTTAAATATACTGATATACTTTTTACAGAGTCTCAAGTTAGGAATAGTTTATGTAACAATGAATATATATAATAAAGTTATTTGTATAGCAGTTAGACCTTTGACCTTCTTATCTGGATATCTATACAGTTAATTATATATCTGAATATTATAAATGTCTTACAGATAATAACTGTTATCCATAAGTTTTAAAAAGAATAACCTAACAGATATCTGTAGATATTTGTAGGTATTCAATAATCTAACAGATATTTACAGGTATTCAATAGTCTAACAGATATCTGCAGATATCCACTAATCTAACAAATATCTGCAGATATTCAATAATTTTTGATGGAATAGAAATTCATAAATAAATAATGATAAATACTATTCTTTGTAATTAGAGATGAGTGATTATTAATATGAGTTTACTAATTTCACTCACCACTTCTGATCTGTACTAATTATTTACTTATCAGAGTATTTATATTATTGACCAAAAAAATTTTTTAAAGTAAAAATTTGTGATGTTAGACTAGAGTTAGTATTTTGTCATTAAGTTATAATTAGATGATATTACTTATAACAAAATTTTACAAGAAGATTTTTCTATTAATATACATAAGAAAGTTTCATAGATTAAATTTAGAGTTATGAGTGATTTTTATTTTTTTTGTTACAGAAGTATTAAAGAAATTAGTAAGCTCTTGTTAATTAATATATTACTACAAATTTTTTTTACAATAGTAATAAGTATATAAAAAAATATAGTATTTGCAAAAGGTGCCTGATTATATTGAATTATCAGTTATATAGTTGTATTTTATGAATCGTAATAAGCATAAAATAAAGTAACCTTGTTTTTTTGTATATAATGGTCTTTTCTTTTTTTAGAACAGTATCACAATAAATTAATGCAGATCAGATTTAGCTAAACATTAAAATTATTTGATTTAAAAATATTGCACTAGTTTAAATATTAATTATTAAAGTTTTAGCCTACACATTAACAAAATACATTTATAATAAATTTTTATAGCAATAGGTAAAGTTGTCTAAGACAACTTTACCTATTGCTATAAAAATTCATTATGAATATATTTTGTTAATGTATGGGCTAAACTTTAATAATTAATAAAATTCTGTATATAAATAATCTAGAATTTTATAATTATAAAACTGCTATAATTTATATATAATGTTACAGTTGTTATATTAAATCTTTAAATCAAAATATTATTTTAAACCTATATATTTGATATTTATTGTAAGAGACCAATATGAGATTAGTTCTAACATGATGTCAATTTATATTAAAGCTTACAAATGATTAGTAATTATAAATAATACTAATAACCTTATGTTGGTTCTTTTAAAATCTAAATATAAAAATTTAATATAAATTTATGTATCAACTTTAAGAAAACTTCTTAAAATTACTTGTCAATTAAGAATGTGCAGAAGTTTTTAAATTGATTAGTGTTGTAGGATTAAGAGATTACTAACCAAAATAATTTCAAGTCTTATTCAAGCTAGGCTTTTCTTTTGTTAAGAGTACTCAAGTTTCAGGTTTTCTTTATAATTTTGTTAATATTGTAATTATTCTTTATTAAAAAATTACAAAATTAACAAAATCATAAAGAAATCCAAAACTCAAGTACTCTTAATAAAAGAAAAGCCTAGCTTGGGTAAGACTTGAAATCATTTTCATTAGCAATCTCTTAATCTTGTAACACTAATACTCTTCAAATAGTAGATGAGTATAAAGATAATTTATTAATGTTAATCAGTGGAATTAAAATTATAAATACAAATACTTATTCATAAATACTTATTTCTAAATACTTATTCACAATTAATTATCTAATAATCTTCAAATAGTAAATGAATATAAAGAAGATTTATTAATGTTAATCAGTAAAATTAAAATCATGAACAAAAATACTTATTTATAAAAATTAACTCTAAATACTTATTTACATTTACCAAAAACTTTTCATCCTTTTCTATGATTTTCTGCACCAATTTTTTTATACATACTAATCTATGAAAATTATATAGTTAGTATGTTTATATATAACAAAACTTTGCTATATAGTGTCTGGATTCAAGAGTTTCAAATTGCATATGGGCTATATGAAAAAGAGTTGAAAAAGACAGCTTCTTGTAGGTTTGGCTCTTTAATAGAAATCTATGAAGTTATCGAAAAAGTAACTTTGGCTACAACCAAGAAAGTTTTGTCAAGCTATATCTGAATAGCAGCAAAGATAAAAGCTTAGTTGAATATGCTATTCTATATAATGTAAACTCCTATGCTCATTACAGTTGGTGCTATAAAAATTCCTTTGCCACTTTTTTCTAAGAAATTTTTATTAAAAAGTAGGCAATCTAGTTTACCTTCATCAAAATTGGCATTGTTGATCCTTCCAAATCAGGATTGTTTATCAGTTCTATTCAAAAAGGGCCCATATTGTAAATAAAACATAAGTATATGTGTCTTGAAAAAAATACAACAATAAGACAAGATTGGAGATTTTTAGCAAAGATGAGATAATTGGTCAAAAATGTGACAAGTGTTAAAATATAAGATCTGATGAAAAGTATGATGAGTCATATATAAAGATGAATCCAGTAACAAGAAGTCAGAATGTCTGGTATATAAAAAATTCTCTGCCAGTTCAGTTTTGGTTGAATTGTTTCCTTTAGGATATAAGCTTTAGTATTAAATATGTTAATTAGATAGAGTTAAAATAGAGATTATTGTATTTAGTAATATATAATTTTTAGTAAGCTGATACAGCCTTTATAATTAGTGACCATTTGTCTGGCCTTTGTTAGCAATCCTCTTTCTTTTTATTTCTTGATATTTGTTTTTTTATGTCTCTCATCTATACATATTTTTTTTTAATGCATTCCTTCTTAACAAGAATTTTTTTTAGTTTTTTATCTCTCTATAAATAAATGGTATCAGATTGGTACTGTTCAATTGTAAGGCTTCAGACAGATGAGCTTGATCCAGACTTTAGCAGGTCTGGTATAGCAGGTCGCTTATAGGTACCAATTGGAATAACCATGTGATGATGGCACATAGAGTTAGATATAGTTCTATTTGTATATTGTATATACTAAATATTTATAAATAAACTTCTAACTGGTTAACCATCATTGCTGCCAAAGATAAAAAAAAAAAACTTTACAATTACCTAATTAATATCTTTCAAATCATTTCATAGCTTTTTTTTTCTAACTAAAAATTAACCAGACTAATGATCTAATAATTTTATGCCTGAAGTTGCAACTTTAGGCATCTGAAGTTACATTTTTTAAAATTATCTAAAATTACTAGCTAACACATATAAGATAATCTAATTTCAGAGCCTAATTTTAGCCAAGTGCAACTTCAGGCTTCAAATCAGAGCTAAAACTATATATATATAATTTTGGTCATTTACTATGCCAATATCTATTGTTTTTGATACACCAAAATTAATAGTATCTAATTATTACTAACAATAGACAAAAACAATAAATAGAAATATTAATTCCTATTACTGTTTTTTAATAATATAAATTAGAAACTGTTAAAAAAAAAAATGTATCATTTAAGTCAAATATCATCAAATCTTAATAAGCCTGCTAATCATACTAATTGAAATTTTAAGCTAAGTTGAAAAGCTAAATATTCATAACTAATACTATTTACTATTTGTGCATTTTTATTAGTTAATAATATAGTATTTTAGTAGAAGAATTTTTTTAATGAGAATTTTTCACTATGTTAGAATGCTAGAATAATCTAGAAGTCCAGTGAGATTCCAAACTTTCAGATAAATACTGTTAATATAATAAATCAATTATATGCAAAGTGGTATGCATATTAATATATTAATATAAGACTTTATGTCTCTAATATATAATAGTTCCAAAAAGGTATTAATTAAAAATTATTATTAAGTAAGCAAATATTGAACAAAGATAAAGCAAGCTGCTATAATTATAGATGTGCATCTAAATTATTTTTAAAAAAAAGTGTTTTTGGCAAACATTTTTACATTGCTATATTTTTTATTTGAAACACTCTAAAATAATTATACTATATAACATATTTTGATGAAAAGAGTTTAAAGAATTTTGGCAATAATTTTGGCAAATATTAAAATTAATTTCAGCAACTATAAAAAACTAATTTTAGCTAACTAAATGCCATAATAATTTTTTATTAAGATAAGCAATTTAGACATATATGTATAGCCATAATGTTTTCTTTTATTAAGTTCAACTATTACTTTATAAAATGCTATACTGGTATAAGAACTATAAGTATAAGAAGCATAAAAAACATAAAAAACATTTTTATATAGAAGTAAACTACCTTTTTCAAGGCTATTAATTTTTTTGAATTTTTTTTTTTAAATAATTACTTCTATGTTATAGTTATAACTTATCTGATTTCAAATAACTTTTTTTTTTATTAGATAGTTTCAGTTTTAATTATTTCTAATTAAATACTATATTTTCATCTTGAGCCATATAATTGCCATTACTATATGACTATAATTAGCCTTTTATTCACTCTTTTATAACACTTATCTATTATAGTATTTGATTTCTTAAACAATAACATTCAAATACTTTATATTTTACTAGATCAAATTGGTTATCTGTTATCAATTACTATACTATATACTATATAATTTAATAATATTTATTATATAGTTTGTTAAACCATCAGTTTTATATTAATAGAATTATTAATCATGTAGAAGATGTGTCTTATAATCTGCATAAAGTTATTCTTACTTTGTGCAAAAATTATAACATAGAATATATGAAACAAAATAACTTATCTTTAAGTAATACTGAACCTGAAGAGTCAAAAAAAAATTCTAATGGTTATGATTTCTTTATCAAACAATCAAGAAAATATAATTTACCTCAAACAACAACAACAAAAAAAAAAAAAGCTTGATGAAAGTGTGATAACTTTATTGTCAAGTGATGAAAATAATGAACATAATAGTAATTATAGAACTAGTAGTATTATGTTTGAAAATAGTTTTGGTATGAATCAACCTTCCAAACCTAACCTTAAAGACCTTCACCTTGAACCTATTAATAAGATACTTGAAAAAAGTTAAATATGGTGTTATTACCAACTATATAAACTTATACAACCATATAAATAGATAGTAAGATGTATATTTAAAGTTAATATAATTAATGGAGCTTCAACCATATAGTCATTTAATCAAACAATGAACAGTTTGATAGTTAATTTTATTAGACACTTAGTATTATGACATGCGATTACTGAAGAATCTTACAAACAGAAACTTTAATATCATCAACCTGATTAACTAAATATTGATTAAGTATTTTAAAGAATAGTTGCAAACAATTCTAAGCAAAAAGAAAGGAAAGATCAAAAGTTTATTAATAAGTTAATTAAGGTCAATTGCCTATTAATATATAAAAAAGAGTTAGTTTTGTTAAATTTCTAGCAGAATTTGATCCAAATTACCAGTTATCTTGTAAAAGACATTGTAGAACATTACTTACAAACACTTTTTTAAGTTCTAAGAACAATCTTAAAGAAATTCTTAACAATAATGTTGTGTCTTGTACTTTAACTTGTGATATATAAACTGGATGAAATTATATAAGATATCTTGAAGTTACCTGCTTATTTATTGACAATAACTTTCAATTAATTGAATTTGCTTTTTTAACAAAATATTTACCATATCTATATACTGGTGAAGCAATTGCTAATGCATTAAATTCTATAATTGATAAATAGAAATTGAAGAATAAAATTTTTACTATTATGATAGATAATGGAGACAATATGGTTAAAACTATAAAATGTATATCAAATATTATTAAAATTCTATGCACAGCCCATACTCTATAACTTGCTATTAGAAAAGGATTATTGGAAGCTGAATCTTGCATAGCATATGCCAAAAGGCTTATATTGTTTTTCACTATGTCTAAACAAACAGAAAGACTAATTAATGCTTAAAAAAACCTGCATCAGTTTGAAAATATTGTAAGTTCTGAATTTGGAATTTTATTAAGGTTTGGATAGGAACCTAAATTAGAGTTAGAGCTAATATAGATATAAAAAATAATTCTAAATAACTAATTAATTTAATACATAAATTTACTTATAAATTACAAAACCTAAAAGATAATGACTATCAATTATGAATTATTGCTGATATTTCTACACAATAGAATTCATCTTACCTTTCATAACAAAGATTTATAAAAATTCAGGGCATTATAAGTATGATAATTACTAATTTAATACTAGATAATAATTTGCAAGTTCAGAAAGATAGGCTTTATCTATAAAAATTCAATTTAACAAATAATAAATGGAATGCTATTTTCTTTATTAACTGAGATTTTAAGACCCTTTGCTAAAGTGACAGAACTATTAGGAGGCAGCAAATATGTCATTATTAGTTTTATATATAATGTGATTACTGTAATTGAACAAGGGCTTCTTTTATTTACTCAAACTTTAGATATAGATTTTGAAAAGGAGAATAATGTTTTTAAGGATGATGTTATTTATAAATTTGAAAAAGAAGAGAAAACCTATATATTAAAAAAAACATCAAATTAATATTAATAATTTACAAAATTGTAAAAATCTTGAAGAAAAAATCAAGTTAGCATTATATGATGCTATAGTACATTATTGGACTGTGTCTAGTGATGAAGCTATACTGGCAATGCTTTTAGATTCTTGGTGCAAGTTTCTTTCTTTTATGTCTGAATCTTTAAAAAATACAGCTTTTGAATTACTTAAAACTAAATATAAAGAATTATAAGTTCTATATAAGATAAAAGAAAATAATAATATACAAATCTATTCTAACTCTTTGTTAGCTTCAATGTTTCAGAATAGATATCCACAATTAGAAGTTTCAGATTATTTTGGAGTTCAAGAAATTTCATATGTTCAATGTCTATTAAACTGGTAGTGCACTAATCAAAAATGTTTTTCCATATTGAGTAAGTTAGCTTAAAAATATTTGGCTATTCCAGCAACTTCAACTGCAAGTAAAAGACTTTTTAATAATACTAAAAATATGATGACAGAGAAAATGATATTACTTTTACTTACTACTTTTGAGCACCTAGTATGTTTAAGAAATAATTTGAAAGTTACTAAAATGTATGGTTTCAGACACAACAATTAATAATACTGGATAAGAATCTTATATTTCAAAATATAAAAAAAAGGTTATATATATTATACAAGTATTTTATTTTTAGATATGTCTGTACTAAATTAGTAAAAAATTAATATTAGATTTAAATTGTTTAGCAACTTTGTAAAAAACCTTAAAATTACTCTGCATATAAAATAAAGTTTTTTGATTTTGTTTTATAATTACTATATTAGTTATCATATTTCATAATATTTAAAAAATATTTATTTAAAAAAATACTTTACCAATAAGTAACATTATATATTAATTTATATTTTATTCTAGAATTTAATCAGATCAAAAAAGTTTCAAAACTGCTTACTAGTTAAAATTAAAATTTTTAACATATCAGATGGCACAATTCAAATACCATTCATTATACCTTTTGACTTGTTATTTGAACCAATTTCACAGACATGCATATTTGTGAAATTATATAATAATATCGAATGTCAAATTGAAAAACATGTTTTTTTTTTTTTTTTTTTTTTAAATGCCATTCTTTTTTTTATACTTTTTTTACTTTATTTCATGTTTGCTTTTTTTACTTTTTTTTCT